TAACAAACCGAGTGAATGTCTGGGACATGCTAGGGAACTTACAATCGCAGGGAACATTCAAAGAACATTCAAGACAGGACGGTAACCTGAGCACCTTTTCAGGGGACATTATGTAGGGGTTCGAGCAACAAGAAAATGCGCAAATTAGTATTTCGTAGAGGCTGACGCCCTTAGTGGGGGGCGGAAGAAAAACCTACCCAAATGTCGTAATCGGGAAAACAGTAGTCAACGGCAAAAAACTCAATCCACGTGGCAAATCCCTCATTCAGCCACAGATGCGTCCACCACTCCATTGTAACCAAATTGCCAAACCACATATGAGCTAATTCGTGGGCCACAGTTAGAGCAACGCGCTGTTTGGACATCAGTGACGTGTTCGCGTGGTCGATAAGCAAGGCAGTTTCCCTGAAAAGAAAATAAAGTGAATGGGTTAAAACTGGTCTTGCCATCAATAGAATATTACAGGCGGACATTTGTGGGATCCCCTGTTACGACTCAGCGCATGAACTTTACAAGTATTTGTCAACCTAACTGGACTTCCACTGCTATGATGATCAACAATTTCAATCATCAAAACCACACACAAGCCTTTGATCCGATGATAATGGCACGCTGGAATGTGGATTGCCTGCCGAAGTGGTGCTATTAGAAATGTAATATGATATTGCTTTCATTATCCCCGGAAGAGGAAGAAGGGGCGATTCCTGAGACCAGGTTGTATTTAAGCTGAGGCTTCGAAAACATTCACGCTTTCATAGTCAGAGTGTAGCTTTTATTTTCCTGCTGGCGTCGAGTGAGTGTGTCTGACTGCTAGACGCGTGTTATAACTGTGCCTGCTGCTCGCACGTCGATCGATTGCTGGTGGCAGGAGAATAAACACTACGTTCTGGAGATGAAAGCGAGAATGTTTTCAAAATGTCAGTTTAAATACAACTTGGTCTCAGGAATTGCCTCTTCTTCTCCTTCCTCTTTCGCAGATGATGAAAGCAATATTATGTCTAGACCTCCATTTTTTCGCATATTAATTTAATATGATTCTCGAGCTCTCTTGGGTGAGGTACAAAAAGTACTTCTAAAGAATAAGCCTAGGCCAGTCAGAAAACAAGCTGCAATCATTATAAGGAAATAGAAAGTGACCGTTATTTTGCCATATTGCTCAAATAACACACGCCAAAAGACAGAACCGTCTAAGACAATTTGTCGGTAGGCGGAAATCAGGCATATTCTAACAAAATCAACGCTCTTATAAAACTAGACATTTCTTTCTTAGTATGGCTTTCTTTAATGCACATATACAGCAAAAAGAATCATGAACACCTGATAAATAAATATAATGGCAGCTCAAAATAAGGCCTAGCCTTTAGATCTGTCAAAAAATAATTCATGAAAATTTCTCTTGGTCAAAAATGGCTTCAAAGCTAAAAGGGACATTCCGAAATTGTTGAATCGGAAATTGCCGAAATCCGAGAGGGGTAAAATTGGGTTTGTTAGAAAACTGCCATAGCAGACTTACCTGTATGTTATAAGGCCCCAGTTTTCCATTGCACCAAACGCGAAGTCTGGAAGCGCGACGAGGTCACATTTTGGCAGAGGAAATTTGCAGCCAAAAATGTTAGCATAGAAAGGTAGCGTTTTTGCGCTAACTTCTAGAGCGTATTCTCCGCACGCCTTTTTCCCGGGAGGCGTGAAGACGCGAATATCAACTCCATTAGCATCCTTTGTGGAAACATAATCGAGGTTTCCAAGGACCATTGCCACCAGGTACGTTGACATGTAGGGTGATCTATCGAACTGTATTTTGACGTAATTGTGACCATCTGCAGGGGCAGGACGACCGGTAGGTGGAGGAATTATTGTTCTGGATACTTCGGGCTACATGAATGCGGACAAAAATGTTAGTACGCAAACCTTAAAACATATGCAAAGGTGGCGAATCATGCTTAATACTCACTCTGGAATCAAATTAAAAGTGTGAAATTCTTCCTGAAAATACTGGAGCATATGGTCATTTCAATTATTGAATATA